CCAAGAAAAGTAGTCCTACTTAAAAAAAATTAAAAGATGATTATGGATTATGGACCGGGACACTGCGCCTTCAAACTGCCAGGATCATCTGCCAAAGACAAGAGGGCCCTCAGCTATAACAGTGATAACAGTGCGAGTTGATCAGTAGGATATAGCACTAAGTGACCAGGTAAACTTCAGCATACTTGATGAGATCTAGATGAGGAAGGCAAGAAAACATAGGAAAGCTTGGGCCGAAAAGCAAGAGATGGTATTCTTACATCCTAACTGTCCTACAAATTGGTTTGTTTGGGCCTCCAAAGACCTAGCTCACATTATTATCTGGTATGCATTATTAAAATATACGGAAGCGTATTGCATTCACTTGAGGAAAAGAAATCTACTCTGTTTTTCTGAATCAACGAGTTAATTATCTCAGAATTACGAGATATTTTTTCATGAAAAAAATATCAAATATTTTTTCATAATTCTGAGATAATTAACTCGTTAATTCAAAGAGAAGAGGAAACGTGAATTAACGAGTTAATTATCTCAGAATTACGAGATATTTTTTCATGAAAAAAATGTCATAATATTTTTTTCATAATTCTGAGATAATTAACTGGTTAATTCAGAAAAAGTGAATGCAATACGCTTCCGTAAAAATACAAGCTACACATTTCTGCTTTTAAACTCTCCTGTGCACTTGCCTGATAGACATCCAATGAAAGTGCATTATTGTGACATGTCTTTAGTTCGTTTTCACAAACGTTGAATCAAATTTTTTTTTTTTGCCGCTATATTAAGTCATATTCACAAATCAAAGCCGTAAGCATGTCTTGAACATTGGGATGGGCAAACCAAGTTTTTATTTTAAAATATGCACACGTTCACTCTTATTGGTATGCCTATAATATGCTGAAAACATTCACATTCAATTATGGATTACATGCCCATGTAAATTATATTTACAATGCCTATATTTTCAATGGACCCTTTAAACATTTCTCAGAAGTGGAAGTCGAAGTTGGGTAAACTTGTGAACAGAAACTACAACAAATACAAAATACAAAAAAAATCCACAATAGCATTTTTAGGACTTTACAAAAGAGGAAAACATATCAAAGACTCAATACTGACCAGATGACCAGTGTAATCAATGACACAAAGTATAGTGTAGCATGTTATGTACATTACGTTAAAAACAAAAAAAAACTTTAAATATAACAAAATCATTGCTAGATTTACACGGTTAATGACGGTGGAAACGTATCATCAGTCTGTGAAATGGGTCCATTCAAAAAGGTGAAATTTGACAAAACATTTTATAGCTTCCATCACTGGATATTACTGACATTTCATTCATAAAAAAGTCGTCTAATAGAAAATTTTTAGCTACTTACAGCTTACCTTGCACTCTTTGACCATTAAAACTTTCATGCTGGAATATCGTCTATGAACAGTAAGCCCCGCCTTCCTTGATTTGATTGGCCCTCTCAGTCAGTTTGACATTGACAAGCGCGGTTAGACCACTGAGACAGATTATCCTAAAATGTTTCTATCTCATTTTAACAACAAGCAGAGTTTTGCATAATTTAATCCAGCAGAGCAGTATCAAAAGCATCATAGTATCTGATTATTGTTGGGATCTTGTCTATGGTGGTTACAGCCCTTCCTCATCTCACAGTAGCTCATCACACACACACACACACACACACACACACAAAGAGACAGAACCCCTTCAACATCGCGTGCATTTCAAGAACAGCAGACCACGCTCAGATGTTTCGCTTCACTCTCAGCCTGAGGTTATCTTTCCTTCTCTCCATCAATCTGTCCATGCCTCCCTCAGTCTGCGTACGGTTTAGTGTTTGCCCACCTCTATCATTCTTTCAATCAGTCTGTCTTAACTTTAAAGCACAGTCTATTTGTCCTCTTTCATATCACTCCATTTGTTTTCACTTCCTCAATCCATCTTCCTTGTCCACACATCCACCTCATCAATCCGTTTTCCTGTCCTCCCTCTGTCCACCTGCGGTCATTTAGTCTGTTTTCCCTCTTCTTCTTCTACTCTTCCACCATCCCACTCTTCAGTGAGTTCACCTGGCTGGGAGCCGTGCACTAATGAGAGGGTAATCAGAGGGATTTTCGCCTGAATCGGCCCTTCATTTGCCCCAGGCTTCTGCAGGCCCTCGGGGACCCGAGCGTGGTGGAAACTGCACAGTTAAAACTGTCTTATTAAACTTCCCTCAAGGGGCCAAACGTTCACAATCAGTCTCAGTCCCAGAGTGAAGAATTTCATTGTCAGCCGACCTCTGATCCGCGTGTCTTTCCTGCGGATCAGCAAGTCTTAATGTGATTGTCTTGACTGCTCAGGCCTTCCCTTAACCTGGGTGGGGGGTTGGTTTTAAACTCTGATACGGGATCAGCTTTAGCTAGCCTAAATCATTTGTATCCTTGTAAAGATAGCATGAAGATATCAACATACATCCCTGTTGAGTAAAAACCCACACAAGTCCTGCAGAAGCCTGTCTTACAAAGGAGTTCTTTTTGACTTGGAAAAAAAACCAGCGGCCTCACAACACTTGCTATAAACCATCTCAGGATTTCATCAGGAGTTTGTAATTATCTCAATAGCTTGTGCACTGGAAAGTGTGACCTGAATAGCGAACAGCCAATTACACCAAACATGGAGAAAATCGGTGTGATTCACTAAGCACCCTCAAACTAACTCAATTAAAACTATAGAGCATGACTTATTTTTGTCGGCCAACCCAGAAGTTAGCGTCACACTGGTTCCTTTGACAATTTTTGTGCTTAATTTTTCCATTGAATTATGGATTATTGCAGGAAATAAGCTCTGTGACTAACAAACGGCAGAAGGAAAACGCTATGAACACAGAGCACCACGGTCACATGACTTCAACAGCACCACCTTTAAGCTTCAGTCAACTGTTTCAGTATTTATTTAAAAAAACAAACAAGTTTTCTCTGAAAGTTTGAGTTAGAATAGTATGCAACAGCATGATTATAAACAATGAGGTTGTGAAAGCGACTAGTGAGTAGATGAGTTTACCCGTTTGGTGCGAAAACCTTTGGAGTCCCATTTAGACCACCTTTTTCAAGACACTTAACAGCTTTTAAAAGGTATTACTGATGTATTTTATGTCATAGAAAAGATAATATGAATATATCTATATATACAGACCTTAATTCAGGCATTTAACCAAAAACCCATTGATTTCAGGACAAATGGAACCAGTGCTAAAAGGCAAACTCAGTGATTATAAAGAGCATTCGTTGCTCGCTTTCTATTTGAAAGAATTTGAATAGGAGTTGTTTGTTGCTAAGATGACCAACGTGAGTCACACCAAAATTAAGATGATTGGCTGTGATTGCAGTTTAAACACAGACTAACAGATTAAATGAAAAATATTTGAGGGCTACTTGCTAAATGCTAACATTTATTTTGTATGAATTATTTAAGAATTTGCCATGTTAAACACCATTTCAGTTGATGAAATACTGTAAATTCAAGTTCAATCTATAAAACTAGAAAATATTTTTGAATGTATTATTTATTTATTTTTAGCTAAAGTTGGCAACCACAGCTGCTGGGTTTAGAACCAGAAACAGTTTTAAACATTGGCTGCATCTGAAATATACTTCTCTATGTGGTATACAAATTAAAAAAATATTAAATTACGAGTAGTACATCTGAATTCACAGAACTCAAAAAGCACCTAGATGACCTAGTACATCCGGCGAGATTCTGAAGTGCACATACAATGGACACTTTACTATCCCACAAGGCCACGGGAGAGTTTGTTAATGGCAGTGAAGTGCGAATGTTGAATGCAGGGCATTGATACACTAGGCTGCATTTAACTCGCAAACTTACCCACCAGCATTTCGAAGTGCGTTCAACTTCAAGTAAATGAGGTTAGTTTATATGAACAGACCCTCGACCCCTTAATTTGTACACTTCAGGCAGATCTATAGACCACAATGCAACATGATTGTGACGTCACAGCAGATTGCGCAACTCTAGCGCATAATATTTGCAGTATTTTGACAGTTAATACTTGTACCTTACGGTGACATTAAGAGAGTTTATATCATTTACGTTTGTGTATTTAATTTTTATATTTAACAGCCCAAGCATATACGGGTGCCTATAGAATTGGTGTGTAACAATTTCATAATGAAGAAAAAAACTAAATAAGATAAGCTACATAGCAGATTCCAAGGGATCAAGGGCTTAGGGCTTATCATTTAAACACATTTCAAGGGTTTCACCAGTAGTGCATGTCATGTAAACAATGACGTACATCCAAGTGAATGAGACAGGGGAAAAAACACCACTTAAACAGCCTTACTTTAGTAATGAATTATTCTAAATAAGTACCTACTTTGAGAATATGCTCATGCCACCAGGAACAAAAATCTGATCACTGGTAAAACCAGAAGACTTAAGTGCAACTTTGAGCATTACAAGTAGAGGCCCAAAGATTTGGAATGAGCTAGATGGCAGGCTGAAGGTGTTGAAATCTGTAACCATCTTTAAGAAAACACTAAAAAAAAAAATTTAACTTTTACGTTTATATCTATAACCTTTCCAGTAGCCTACCTAGACTGCAGTTGATCCTAAAAGCATTGTCCTGATCTATTTTTTGTTTGTCATGTTGTATTGTGTATTTTTGTATGATATTGTTGTGTGACGTGTTTAGTTTAAGTATTTGTTCGTAATGTATTATTCTAATATGTCCCGGCTCCCTATTATAAGCTTTGGAAAGCTTCTCTGGGAGACCTGATTCACACATGACCATATGTGCCATTTAGTCTGTGCCATTTTGTCTTGATTTTATGTGTGGGTGAAATAATAAAATAAAAAAATAAGCGATTTAGGACACAGCCAGTGTAATACTATGAACCTGGTTAACCATCAGCTAACATTGCAGCCATCAACCTAGCCCTCATTTCCCACCAAACTAGCTCAATGAGATCCAATGCCACATCTCTTGAACATATGTAAAAAGCTTTATTTGGTATACAAGTGCTTGAATAAAAGTCACTACACAATGAGTAAAAACAGTAAAAAGGTCGCGCATCACTTTTTTCCTCGTTTCCCCGGGGCTTTTGCAGCGGCTACAGCACCTTTCTCTCCAGATTCACCCTCTTCTGCCTTTGCTGCAGTTCTCTTTCCTCCTTTCTTAGCGGCTGGTTCCTCAGCTCCTTCTTTTGATGCTTTAGAGGCTCTTTTAGCTTTGGGTTTGGGCTCCGGTCCACCCTCCCCTGCAGCATTCTTCACCTTTGGCTTCTTAGCAGGGGCCACCTTTGAGGCAGTGGCATCGCTCTCAGGCGTCTTAGGCTTCGCATCCTAAGAGAAAGAGAAGACAGATAGAAAGAGGGTGGATGTGCGTTCTGACTTCACAGCTGCGAGTGTCTGCGAATGTATAAGGTGAAAATAAGACAACTCACATCTGTGGCTTCCTTTTTCTTTGTGGACTTCTTTTCCTTGCTTGTCCCTTGAATGGGAGGGGGGAGGGGACGACCATTAAAAAGACTGAAGCAGTCATGACATTACTAAAAGAGTTGTCACAGCAGTTATTCTATAGAGACAAGGTTTACACGAAGGGCTTTCAGTCCCAAGACCAGTTCACGTCAAAAACAAAACCAAGCTAGACCAATGGACCACAATGATTGGTTTACTCTAAGTGCAACCTGCAGTGATGTCGACATAACCACAGCACAACAGATTGAGATTAACTTAAAAGAAAGAAAAGAAAAAGGACTGTCCATTTACACTTAGTGCAAATAGCCCATATTGGCAGAGGCTATTTAAACCAGGGAGAGCTCTTAGGTCTACCAATCAGAGGCTCTTAGTGGTGCCTGAATCCAGACTAAAGTCGAGGGGTGACGGGCACTTTCCGCATCCGCACCGAGACTTTAGAACGGTTTACCTGTTCAAATCAGAACTGCTCCCACAATATCCATTTTTAAATCCAAGTTAAAATCTTTTTTATTTGATCTGGCTTATTCATGAGTTTTGTCTTTCTGTGCTTTACTTGTCTGTCTTTTATTTAATGGTTATCTATTTTGTACAGCACAACGGCAGTGGTTTTTAATTGTGCTTTATAAATTGAAATATTTAAACTCGATTATCACGGCATACCGTTTAATGTACAACACTGAGGTGCAAAAAGCATCTGCCACTATTTGCAAGTATAAATAGCAAACTATTTACACTTATTGCAAAGAAAGTGCTGCAATTTTTTTAGTGTAAATAGAATCTATTCACTATTTTTACCTAGTAGTTAATGGCATATCGCTAAGAAAATGCTCCCATGTTCAAGGTGTAAATGGAATCTATTGCCATTTAAACTTAATGTAAAAAGCATCTATCATTAAAAAAAAAAAAAAAGTTGCCATTGCCATTTTTACTTAGTGCAAATATCCACTGCCAAAAAAAGCTTTGCAAGTGAACCCAAGAACAGCTTTACTCTCATGCCTTTATCACTGTGGATGCTGCAATTCTCTTAGAATTAGAATAATTCTTAACTTTAGTGTAAACATGCATTGAAAGACGAGTTTAAAACACATTAATAGCCTACTTAAACTTTACCTTCACCCTTGGCTTTAGTTGCCTTGGCTTTCTTAGGTTTGGATGCTTTCTGCACATTTGGATCAGCGTTTTCCTTTGACTGCACCTTCGCCTCCTTTGCTTTGGTCTTGGCAGCAATCTGAGAGAGGACATGGTGACCATTCAGGCATTACGTTATATTGACATTCCTAACAATGATTCATAGAACGGTGCAAGAGAAATTGAAGTTACCCGAAAGCGCCCTTGAGCACCTGTCGTCGTTGCCCCAGAATTCGCAGGTCTCACAAACACACCAGTCTCGATGCCTTTGTTCAGGGCTTTCCGCACCATAAACTTCAGCCGGGTCTCATCCACGGTCTTGTACTTCTCCTTGATGTAGCTACGGATTGCTTGAGCTGAAATACCCTTTCTGGAGTCCAACTCTTTCAGAGCTTCTTTCACCATCTCCATGGTGGATGGGTGCGGAGAAACCTTGCGTCCAGTGGCCTTAGTGCTCGAGCTTTCGGGAGCATCTTAAACGACAGTTAAACAAATCATACTAAAACAAACCCTAATAGGAACATTTTAGAATTTGATAAACATCACAAAACTGCTTGCAAACCTGGTTTTGTGTCACTAGTTTCATTCTCAGAATCCTTTGGGATTGTGGCAGTTGGCGCTGCAGAAACTTTTTTAGGAGGCATTTCAAAATCCAATTAAAGATCAATAAAGTTAAAAACCCACTCAATTCACTCCAGCATGAATCCAACCAGCTTGTGTGTGTGTGTTTTATCCACGGAAAGCATGCGTTGCTGTTGTCTGTCACCTGTTCATCATCAAGTCGTTTGTCTCTAATTAGTTAGCCACATTAACGTGATTGGCCGAGTTGCCAGAAATAATTAGCTCAGAACTGAAGTGAAAATGTGTGTTTCCTTTCCAACCTTTTAGAAAGACCATTATAAACAGATTCAGAATTCCAATAATGAGTAATTCCTCTGGAAAGTGAACATTAGTTAACTGCAGGGGCTGTTTACATGACACTGTTTTCAACTAAAAACGTTTTTATACGTTTTGGCCATTCATTTACACGACAACAGCGTTTTGGGTATGGAGGACCAACTCTACCATATTTAAAAATAAATACAGACATAAATAAATGCTCAATAAATAAATAAGCATACAATTAATTGCCCCCCAAAATACAATAAACAAATAAATGTAGGTAGAAATTAAATTATACAGTGAGACATAAATGTATATACCTCTTTTAATTAGCTTCTTTATTTATTTACCTTTGTAATAATTACCTCATTTATTTATTGTCCGTTATAATCTTCAACTTTATTTATTAATTACTTATTTTTTTAAGTATTTATTTATGTGCATGTTATAATATTTTTGTCTGTTTTATTCTTCCTTTGTATTTTTTTACCCTATTTATTTCTTCAATGCTATTTATTTATGCCTGTCGTTTTTACATTTCTGTATGCATTTCTGCCTCATTATGCAAATGAGGAGGGGCTGTTTCTTAAGGGGTCAACTTCTGCCCATAGAGAGCCTAAGCCCCTCCCCTCCGCTTCCGGCTCATGGATGGGACCTTATATCGGAAAAAAATATGTATGGTAGTCAATGGCGAGAGACAACTTATCTTCTTATTCCGTCTGAACTGTGCCCTGAATTACACATATGATGTTTGTCAATTTAAAAGATAATTCTGAAAGTCAAGAAAGTCGCAGTTTGTCATAAAACAGAAGAGTGACATTTAGTTTTATGTGAAAATCGCTCAATGAACTACATCTCCCGGGAAGCGAAACAACGAGCGAGATCCGCTGCTCGTGTGTGTGCAGTCTGGTACAAAACACTCAGGCATGACGGCGTAACGTTACGATTATAACGGAAGACTATTGAACAAATGACAGACGTTAGCTTCAGTAAAGTTAGCTTCATTCATTGAGAGAAAATGTGCGCCTTTTGGGTTTGTAGTCTCTTTAATTACGTGTTTTCACAGTCTTATACCTCAACAGTTTTACATCAAACTGCGACTTTCTTGACTTTAAAATGTATCTTTTAAATTGACAATCAGGGATGAGTTGCCCAATGAATATTAATGAGTCTTCCCCACCCTGCAAAAAAAAAAAAAAATCGCGGCCGGTGGCATTGTAGATTCGACCGATGCAGTAAAATGCTAACCAACCAATGGGCAGAAGTTGACCCCCTAAGACAGCCTCTCCTCATTTGCATAATGAGGCAGAAATGCATACAGAAATGTAAAAACGACAGACAGAAATAAATAGCATTGAAGAAATAAATAGGGTAAAAAAATACAAAGGAAGAATAAAACAGACAAAAATATTATAACATGCACATAAATAAATACTTAAAAAAATAAGTAATTAATAAATAAAGTTGAAGATTAAAACGGACAATAAATAAATGAGGTAATTATTACAAAGATGAATAAATAAAGAAGCTAATTAAAAGAGGTATATACATTTATGTCTCACTGTATAATTTAATTTCTACCTACATTTATTTGTTTATTGTATTTTTGGGGGCAATTAATTGTATGCTTATTTATTTATTGAGCATTTATTTATTTCTGTATTTATTTTTAAATATGGTAGAGTTGGTCCTCCATACGGGTGCCTGAAAACGCAAAATATTGGATTTTGAACAAACCATTAGGCCGTAGTACAATTTCGGACATTTAAGTAGCTTTTATAAAAGTGCATCTTGAAACAAAACAATGACACTAACATATTTTAAGATGTATTAGTGCAAGTTGCTTGCTTTCTGTTAAAACTGCTCAAACATGCAGTTTAGTCGGGGACTACCTTAAGCCTTGTCTGTGAAACGGGAAAGCTGTAACTTTTGGCCCTAGCCGTTAAAAAATTAAAATGCATGCGTCTTGCGGAAGAACATTGTTTTGGTTGTGCTTCGGCTCTGCTCTTCTGCGCGGGCCGCGGATGAATGAGGTTCGAGGCACCGGTGGAAAGAAACATAGCCTACTAGACTGTAAAAAGTGATCATAAAAGCATTCACGATCTTATCGGAGTGGATAGATCGACACACAAATGGATAATTTAAAACGGCAAACTGACCAGTTGGTGTTTTTACATCTGGTCAGTTTCCCGTTTTAAATTATCCATGGTCAATTTTTCTCATTCAAACAAACTTTTAGTTTCATGCTAATGCTACCCACAGCTAATTTTCTCTGTCTACCGAAATGACACCCTCGACAGCTCTAAAACAAATTAATTGTAGGCTTTATATATATATAGGCCTATATATATATATATGTGTGTGTGTGTGTGTGTGTGTGTGTGTGTGTGTGTGTGTGTGTGTGTGTGTGTGTGTGTGTGTGTATTTGGATAAAGACATGGTTTGAAGAAAAAGTAGATTTTCTTTGCACCCTCTCAATAACATTTTGTTATTTTTTTATATAGGCCTAGGCATATAAAAGTTACAGCTTAGAAGTTCGATTTGCCTTTTTTTTTTTTTTTTTTTCCCCCCCCCCCCCTCCTCCTGTAAAGTTCTAATGTTATGATTCACCCTGGAGCTGGCTGATTTAGTCTCTTTTGTTGACGAATTGTTAGAAATCCCTTTGGAGAAAATTAATTTGGAAAAAGAAAATATTTCTGGAACCAAGGCTGCTGAAAAAGCATCACTGCTTCCTTCTGTTCTCTCTTTTTTCTGTAACACCTCATCCTTTTTGTTCTTCGTTTACAATTATTCTTGTCAGAAACTTTACCATAAATTCTTAAACCTCCTCAACACTGACCGCAAGTTGACCGAACGCCTAAACTTCTCTTTGAAAACTAAACCCTTGTGCAAATAACTGCCATGCATCCAGAACTTCTTATTAAAGTTGATTTACTACCTTGTTTTGGTCCTTTAAATTGACTTCGGCAAAGACAAATTAACTTTGCCATGTGAAGAAAGAAAGAAAGAAAGAAAGAAAGATAAAAAGAAAAAGAACATTTTGTTTCATTTGGAAATTAACCATAACTTAATATACATAGCCACTCTGATGCAATTACAAACAGTGAATTGGACTTGGTGATAGATGAGTAATCAGAGAAACCCAGATTAATATTATAATGAGCTGGAGTGTTCTGGCCTTTGTCTCATGAGTTAATATGATCATGGTGTGATCTGTCTGTCTGTTTATTATTCCGTTTCTGTTCAGTGATTATAACACATGCTAACTCATAACTAAGGACATGAGATGTGTCTTGTGCATGTGTGAGTTTCCATACTTGTGCACACACACGCTCAAGGCCGGATCATTTGGTTTTGATTTTTCCCAACATCTGGTTACAATATGACTGTTTGTCCTTCAGTAAGTGCCGTTTGTGTTAGGTTTGTGTGTGTGTGTGTGTGTTTGTGCTGTGACTGAGTATGATTTGAGTTCAGACTGTGCTTGTGTGTGTACACGTGTTGTGCAGATCACAGGGATTGAATGTGTGTGTTGGTGTTTTATTAACCCATTTACGAGAGCCATATCACACTCCCATGAGATGAGATTACTGTTATCCATAACCACTCTCTCTCTCTCTCTCTCTCTCTCTCTCTCTCTCTCTCTCTCTCTCTCTCTCTCTCTCTCTCTCTCTCTCTCTCTCTCTCTCTCTCTCTCTCTCTCTCTCTCTCTCTCTCTCTCCACACATACTGTATCCACAGTAGTGTTCTGAACTTCCAAAATTCAAATATATACAAAAACACACATTTTTGGGCCGTTCACGCCAATAATAACTAAAAAGATAACTATAGCGATAACAATATAAGCGTCCCCAACAACACATGACATCTTTCTATCTTTCAGTTTTGTCGTCCACCACTTTAAATGCTTGAGTTCAGGACGGATTCTAACGGCCTAATAGGAGAAAGAAAACTTTTCGCATTTTTAGAATAAAAAACAACAACATTCTTTCACTTATAAATAGTTTTTCCAAATGCTTAAAGTCCCCATGAAATCAAAATTGACCATACTTACTTTGTTTGCCTAAATTGATCGTTTTGTGGTGAACAATTCATCCATGCAAGTCAATCCACACAAAAAATTTTTTTGGCTTCGTAATCTTTAATCAAATTTTGAAAATGCCCCTCCCCTCTGCATTGGAGGACCTTGCCCGTAGGGTTTGGGTGTCTGCTTAACATCCATAACCACGCCCCTCCAACTGACAGTGGACAGGCTGAATGAAAACACCTACTTTTCTAGATCCAATCAGGTGCTAGTTGGAAAAAAAGCCACGCCCACTATTTTGCCTCATTTAGTATTCCGTTTCTCTCGGAAATACGTCACAACACTGGAGAAAAGTCGTTTGCAACTTCCGGTTCACGGGGACTTTAAGTCCCCGTTTTAAAGTTTTTGTAATATTCAACTCATTTCTGGGGACAGATTTGTCTTGTGTGGCTATAAACATACACACTTACCGTACAATCATGCTTCTCCTATTTTTTTATTTCATTTTTGTGAAAGTGTGTTGTGTTGAGGAAGACATATTGTAGAAGAGTTCCAGCTCAGAAGTTTGGCCAGGCGTTATCTGGGCAAGTGTAAAAATGGCCGGTGTTGATCGGCGATGCCTATGGGAAGTCGCAATCTCACTGTTTTCTCATCTGGGTGTTTTGTGCAAAGTGAGTTATGGATATTTTGACCTTTTGCAGGCTTATTGGGGCCCCCAAGACACCATTTGTGTGTGTGTGTGTGTGTGTGTCCTCTCCTTTATTCCGCTCTCTTTTTCCAGAGTAATAGAAACCAGGTTTATCGTAACTCACAAAACCAG